AGTTAATTTCCCATATACTCCTTAGATAATGCTTTCTTCCGTAGGCATATGCTTTCTGGCGAAAAATATCCGTAAACTGAGAAAATGGACAAAGAACGTACATTGACCCCTTTCTCTCGCTTCGGAAGCATACACCCCGCGCACAACATAGCATACACCCCGCATGTTGGGATATACATGGTGAATTAGCGTCTGTCAAATGGTGAATAGATTCAAGTTCAAGTTCAAGTTCAAGTTCTTTATTGACTTTGAGCATTATAGCTCATCAGTACAAACAAATACAAACATGACTGTACAGGTTTACAGGAGAATATGATTATTATGTACATATGAAACAAATGTATATATATATATATGACATAAATGATTAATTTAACATGTCTTTTCTAGTTTTTAGGCTAAAGTAGATAAATTTTCCTAAATTGCATAGTTCTTTAACATTTTCAACATTAAAAAGTTGCAATAATTTAAACATTGAAGGTTTTTTCCAATAATAAGACTTTAAGTATTTTTTACGGTGAATTTCATAAGCGGGACATATTAAAATAAAATGAAATTCATCCTCAACATAATTTGAACACAAAAAACAATATCTACAGATTCACATTAGTAAAGAAATCAATAACATTAGGGACTTTAAATTGTTGTTGACAACGATGAGACGACTTAAGCTCCACCTCTGTGCAGGATTAGACAATGTAATTGGTTATTCGATGCAATAATTGGCATTTGCCCTAATTTCTATCCCATGTACTTAGTCTAGTATAATTATTTCAACAGTGAAGGATAGCTGTGTAAATTTTAGAAGTTAATTATGTAACGTCGAGAATGCCACGCCTTACTTAAAGTCCAAACTAAAGTCCAAACTAACCTGGAAATGATTCTAAGTATTTTTATACGCCCAAATCGATAGATCCGGGGCGTATATTGTTTTTGTCCTGTCTGTCTGTTTGTCTGCAAACTTTACCCTTCGCCATAAATTTTGAACTATGAACGATAGAGACTTCATATTTGGTATGCATATTACATTATTTAAGCTCTTTCCAATGTCATTAAGGTCCATTACCTTTTGACTTCGACTTTGACCTATATGCTAAAAATAGCTTCTCTGAACCTTCACAATAACTTTTCAATCATAAGAGATAGCAACTTCAAATTTAGTATGCGTACTCCACTAATGAAGTTCTTTTAAATGACACCAAGGTCAATGACCTTGTGACCTTGATTGTGACCTATATGCTAAAAATAGCTTTTTCGTATCTTCGCCATAACTTTTGAATCATGAGAGGTAGAGACCTCATATCTGGAATGCAAATTCTAGCAATTAAGTTCTTTTAAATGGCACAAAGGTCAATGACTGTGACCTTGACTGTGACCTGTATGCTCAAAATAGCTTTTTCGTACCTTCACATTAACTCTTGAACCACAAGAGATAAATATTTCATATTTGGTATGCCTACTCCCCTAATCAAGTTCTTTCATAAGACGTCAAGGTCAATGACCTTGTGAACTTGACTATGACCTTTATGCTAAAAATGTTTTTTTTCGAACTTTGTTGCCTCCGGGTGCATAGTGTTTCACAAACACATTTTGTTTTTCAATGTTACAATACTTTCGGGACATTTTCCACTTTTATTAGTGACTTGTCCTTCAAAAAAAATGTGAGAATAAAGACCAAAACTGTGTTCAAAATGCAACAAAACTGTTGATACCTCAATATTAACGCGGTTTCAATATATTATAAAACTTCCCGAAAGGGGGTTTTATATTACATTTTATCAGCTAGGAATAAAAAAATTACAACCTGTAAATCTTTGTTTGTAAAATAGTTTTATTTTTTCTTTATCCATGTCAATTCCTAAAGATACATTTTGTCAATTGCATAAAATACTACAAAGTTTTACACTTTTAAGTTCTCTTTGAATATAAAACAGATTCTGACTTACCTTAATGTGACTATTTATTTCATTAGGATCTCTGTTTACAAAATCTGATTTAGAATTATCCATGCTCTGAATGTTGTCGTTGTATTCTTTTCTAAAGAACTGAGTTTTTACAAGGAACCAGGAAGAAGCATTACAACTGTTTCATGCTAAGATCAATGTTTGGTCATTCACTGATATGGTTCCAATAAATCTTAACTTTAATTTGACAAGTTTCATGTGTTTCAAGCTGTTAGTAATTAAATTGTTCATCGATACTTTAGTTGTAGCTGGTTTATTATCGTCGTTTGTTTTATTTTAGTATATATTTGTATATTTTGGCCCTTAGCGGTACTTCTTGATTTACTGTATACTGTAAAGTAATAAATATAACAATAAACCGTTTACACAATATAACAAGTTGCTGTCCTTTAAAAAAGGACTGCAATACGTGGACCATATGCATGTTTTTTCTAACCAACTGGGATTTGACACCTGTTCTGGATTTATACGGAAGAAAAATTTCATGGGAAAATAGAAATATGATGGTTCTCGAGTAGCACAGCTCTGTAGTACGCAGATTTTTAGTCGGAGCCCACCCCCCTTCCAAGCACACATTAAAAGCCGTTGCTACAGACCTTTATCAAACGATATTTAGATTGCTGAAATATTAAATTAATATTGATTATATTATTTTGCGAGCCTTGATGCACAAAACTAATGCTGGTGAAAACTTGTTCTATCTTTTAAAAGCTAGAAGTGAACTAGTTGAATGACGTTTTTCATTCAAGTTGTTAAGTTACATGTATCTATATATACTGGAACTTCTTCCTACTTTTTAAAATGATTGTAATATAGAATCAATCAATATTTAGTTTGTATATAAAAATTAATGTAAAAGAGAGAAAATCGGATCCGCAAATGAATAAGTAAATGGGATATACAGATTTAAAACCGCGATTTGCCAATGAATGGCATGTTTTAATTCGAATAGGACGAATTATTCTACGGGCAAGTTACCTAAGGCGCGAACGCTCTAGCATTCTCGCGCATGCGTAGCCTGTCGTTTGCCCATGGCATCCGGTTTAACCTCGCTTATATATTTACTGCGTGGACCTCAGGGTCCACGCAATAAAAACACAAGGTATCTAACTCCAAATACAGTACCTGGAATCACTTTCCTAAACGCTTTCAAAAATTAAACAGCCTTATTTAGAACTCACAAACATCTCTTTTTATATTTAAACATATGAAGTCGTAAAAACAGAATCCCGTGAGAAATTGGTGAGATTTTATTAAGTCCTAACAACTATCCTACCATGCCTCATGGGTGTAAGTGTCTGATTGTATATTTTTCCTATTGAGATTTTCTCTCAAAAGAATTGTTCAAATGGGATAAATCCCTAGGATACATGTATATACAATGAGACATTTTTTCCATACATTGTTAAACATGGGATATTTCCAATGGATTCAGATGAGTGGGATATCCTCATTATAACCTGTTCTCTTCTCTAATAGAATATCTACCTCTACATCACTATTGTCCTTCCAGAACCATACCTCTCCCCTCCAGTATCAAAAGATAGTACTAGGAAGTCTGTCTATGGAGAAACCTTATTTTGAACCCTTACTTCCTCCCACCAGAAATCCTTTAGATTCTAACCCCCTCCAAGTCTTCCTGCAGGCCACCTCTACTTCCCATTGAAAAAGGTTAATTTAAAATTTGCTATCTTATATTTCATAGTAGTATCTTTATGGTGGCATATTTCTGCCCCCCCCCCCCATACGCAAGATAAATTATGTTAACAAGCAGCATAGTTATTTAGACACGCAATATATTTAAGTCAACATGCAAGATAGTTATTAATTTATATATTGTTAAACTTACTTGCTAACACCCGTATCTGACAGCTGCTTTTAAATAAAAATTCTTTTCAATAAAAATGGAACTCTTAAATTTACCTACCTGATCTTTGGTCATTCGCAAAATTATTTTGTTGAAAAACATCCTGATTGCACACACAAGTACTTTGAAGTTGACATTAAAAGATGTTTGAGTTTCTGATTGACAATACCTATATGGTTTTTAGAGTCTTCCAACAATCTATTGCCATTCCCATGGGTATCAGTTGCGTTCTGTTATAAACAGACGTATTTTTGTAATCATATGAAGCAGAATTTATGCAAAATCTTGTGCGTGAAAAGAAGAAAACACGTGATGTGGCCTTCAACTCGACATTTAGATATATCGACGACGTATTGTCAATTAACAATGATAATTTCCATTCCTATGTCGATACGATATATCCTGGCGAGGTTGAAATAAAAGATACCACAGCGTTTGAAACATCTGTTTAATGCTTAGATATTTTTACTTGAAAAGGGTATTCTTACAACCAAGCTCCATTATAAACGTGACGACTTTAACTTTTCTATCGTCAACTGACCTTACAAATGCAGCAGTATACCTTCATCATCTGCGTACGGAATTTATATATCTCAGTTGACTTGATGTGCAAGAGCATGCTCTATGTATGAACAATTTCTAAAGCGAGGTAAATTATTGACAAACAAGTTGATGAAAGAAGAATATAAGCACTCTCTTTTAGAATCATCATTTCGTAAGTTCTATGGCTGATGCAATGACCTTGTCAGCAAATACAATTTATCATTAGGTCAAATGGTGACTCATCTGACGTTTTTCATACTAATTATTAGTCAATTATTCATACACTGAATTGATGACGTAATTATCCTTTATTTCTCGATCATGACAATGAGCATATGGTCGCTGTGACCGATCGGGGGGGGGGGGTGTTCACTCCTCCATGGCACCTGATCCCATCTCTAATGTTTTGGGGGTCCGTGTTTGCTCCGTTTGCCAATGGAGAGTTGCAAATACAATGGGATTCGAACCCGCAACGTAAGGATTGACTCCTCTCTTCGCGACTTTAGAGCAGACGCTCTTACACTGTACCACTACGCCACGCGGGAAAAAAAAGAAAATACTAGTAAATCATCATTTAGAAGACATGTGTGGTGATTTTTTAATCTAAATTTCAAATCTAATGCGTTTTCACAAAGGAAATGAAGAAGATTAAGATAAGATAGAGAAGGCACTCTTGAATAATTACCGAGATCTGTTAAGCAGGAAATCACTAATTTCTTCCGCGTCCTAGGCTTGATGAAAAGGAATAGAAACGTAAGTAAAATTGTTTATTTTTTAAAACAAATATTATAAATGCACAATCAAACATTGCTAATTTCGAACTCTTCTATGATAAATAAACATTTAGCGTAAAATTCATTGTTTTTTGTTATTTGTTTGATATTAGGCTCTTCTTGGACAAAGGCTTAAAGGAGCTTTTCTACTGCAATTTTGTTTATTGTTTGTGCAAATGGACGTCGCAGTTGTTGTCGACGTTATTAAATTTATACTTTCGACTTATTCTTAAGAATTATTTGGTTATTTTTAAATTTTAAAATTTTCAGAAAAGGAAATTTAAGTGTGGACTCTTGAAATTCAATAATAAATAAAGTACTATAAAAATGATATATGTATTAAAGTAATAAGGAGTTCCTCATTGACAATTAACATCTATTTAGTCTCTGAGAAGTCTTGGAACAAACTGTTAGAATACCATTGTTAACTAATTATATTCCTTTACCGGTCGACCTATTTTTAGGGATGAAAAGCAGAGTTTATTCTTTAAGTCCTTTATGAGAGGAAAATTATTGCTAAGGTTTTCATCTTAACATTCAAATATATCAATGGGTTAAGACAATTAAATTAAAAAAGAATTGCTACTTTGATTCATAAGTCGACATGATATATATCCCAGTGGAGTCGGGGAAAAAACCCTGAATCTGCAACAAATGTTTTATTTCCACATGTTTGACAGACTAAAAGGACAAACAAAAAGATAAATTGCTTATAACAAACGTCTCTCTTTTATTAAGATGTATATACATGTATGTTTTAATTAATTGATTTCTTTTATGTCCCCTTTCTCAAATTCCTTCAATGTTCAATCGTATGCACTGCATCTGTATCATCAATTCATTGTCATCGTCTGTGATAATTCTTCATTTATATATTTATATTGCTAGATGATGTTATGCATTTTAAAATACGCACTGTATTTAATTTAAGTAATTTAATGTATCATACAGGCGCGGATCCAGGTATAATGACAAACACCCAGGAGTTACTGAAGGACGTACTAGTTGATCCTAACGACCATGACCCAGACAAACAGTATGCCTACGTGGAAGTAAGTTAATGCACATGATTGTATTAGAGCAAAATTAATATCCATAAAAACATTAATAAACTTAATAAAGTGTTTTCGATAAATACAAGTCTTTTTCTACATTTAACGGTTTTCAAACACCGATGGTTTGAAAGTGGAAATACGACAACTTAACTGTTCAAATGAATTGCGGGAAGCACTGCTAACTAAGAATGTCAATACCAAAGCTGATTATTGGTATTAATTAAGGGGAGATCGGACACATGATGAAAGAATTGCTTTAAAATGTGTTAGACATATTTAATTAAAAAATATGCAAAATATGAAGAAAAAAAATATCATTGACTAGTTTTTCTTTCAGTCCAAGGCCCTGTTCCTCCTTAAAGCAAAATATTTTTAAGAAATCGTACACAAACATAAAAATAAAAATGATAAATAAATAAATAAATAAAATAAAGTAGTTTTAATTTGATGTGACCAAAGTGGACACGTTATGGGACACAAATTTCTATTCAGAAGGCAGAAATTAGTGTAATGCACCTCTTCATAAAATTATCGCCAATAGCAATACATTATAATTGAATTCTTTACATTGAAATTTCTTACATATGTTTGCTCACAAAAATGTAGAGATGTATACTTTAATTTGAGACATTTTTTGTAGGATTTCACAGAATTTGAAGGCATTTTTGCGGAGTCCGCTGAAATGCAATCCTGTGACATTACTTGGGCATGCTCGAAATTTATGTTTCATCGTGGTCTAAATTCGTACGCCAACAACAGCTGCAATTTCTGCTGCATTGCAGCATTTTGGGGGACATTGTTTGGAATTGCAGCATATTGCGAAAATTTTTGCATGCGACCCATGGGGAGGTTATCCGAGCTTAGAAGAAAAACGCCGGGCTTATCGAGCTGCTTTGGCGCTTGGTTGAGTTGTTTTAAAGAGCTGGGTTTAGCTTGTTTAGGTTTCAAGGGAGAAGACAAAACAAAGAAGAAAAGAGATTCTGAGATAAAAACTGTATGAATAACAAATTGTTTTTACATAAAAACATCAATCGGTAGACCACTTTGGAAATAGATATATTAAACAGGTATAATGTTATACATGTATAAAATTCAAATTGTTAATGATATTATTTCAGAAATTGAACAAGTATATCAGCAAAATGCACACAAGGAATTGTGAAGGATCAGAGATTAAACCATTGTTAAATGAATGATGTCTCGCTGTTTTTAATTTTTACTTGTTTAAAGTATTTTGCTTATTCCTTATACAATAAATTTCCACTCGCGTCGTTGATATCATCAAGAGGAAGTAAAATCACGTGACTGGAAATGGCTTCCTACGATTCATTTGATAATTTGCTTTTGACTACAGTTCGTTCTCTGACATTGTACGAAGAATTAAGTAGATGTATGGCGGCACATTTCCGCCAATTATCCATATGCAAGATAAATCATTTTATTATACCTCATTATAAATATTCTACACAACGCGTTATCTGATTGGTTCTACGCTTCACGTGATCGGGCCGTAAAACTTCATATTTCACGGCCGTCGGCACGCTTTTCATCATATTTCACCTTTTCGAAACACCTAGTGTATTTTCCCCGCAATATAGTTCTCGTTCGTTGAACGAAAACTGCCGAGAGAAGTAGACGTCACAATGGCCTGGTTTACGTCAAACTGATGACAATGTGTTGACCAAAGGGTTTTATAGTAACTTTACGTAAAAAATGAAAGTGAATTTGAGAGCGGTGCCGAATTTGAAAGTTTATGTTTATTTCAAAGGCTTTGCTTGTTTCGGTATAATAAACAATTCATTGCATGAATGTTCGGGAAACATGAAGACTTATTCAGCCAAGAAATATCATATTCCCCTCGGGCGAAGCCCTCGGGGAATATGATTTTTCTTGGCTGAATAAGTCTTCATATTTCCCTCACTATCATGCAATAAATGTATATTAACATACCATGCAAGAAAAATATGTCAATATGCAAGTTTTTTTAATGTCTGCACGCAAGAAAATTATGTCAGCATGCATACTGCAAATCTTATAAGAGAATATATTTTTTAGTATGGTATATTAACTTACTTACGAAGTTTACACCATTTTCTGGCTGCATACAGTGTACATGCAAGATGCAGCATAATTATGTTGACATACGACTTATTTATGAACATGCGAGATTGTTAATGCAAACTTGAATGATATTTATATTAATAAATGATTTATTTCTGTTATACATGTAAAACATGCAACATTATTATGAAGACGTGCGACTTGTTTATGTCAACATTCAAAATTACTCATATTCAAACTGATCATAATTGTACAAAACACGATTTATGTCTTTCACAATTTCCTAGATACAAGCAGCTCACCAGATTTGTTTTGCTCCGAATTCTGTTTCAAATACGACAGGACAATTATATGTGAGAATGAAAATGTCATTTATTCAATACAGTAAATGACGAACAAATTTTACAAACACGGAGGGAAATCAGTAAAAACCAATTGAAACATTTTGCACATATAAATAGATATGAACACATACGTTCTGACCCCTTCCCCCTTCCTAGAAAACAGGTCACAAAGAAAACTTTAGTTCTGACGAGAGACAACATAAACGTTATAAAAATTGATATACGGCTAACAAAAAGCAAGCAAAAGATGCATGGCGACAAATATGGCCAAAGATATGATCAGCAGGTCACATCCCATGCCATCGAAAGTACGATATCTATTTTGCCTATTATTTAAATTTAAGTATTTTGTGCAGTAGCTTTAGTCTACATTCGTTAATAAACATGTATATTATTATACTTGACACTGGCCGTCAAATTGTTATCATTATCACAGTATGAGGGTACGAATCCCACTTTGGGACGTGGAGACCTAGTGACATTTTTGTCAATGAACTTGTTATCAAAAATCATATTAAAAAGTTGAAATCTAAATTATAATAAAGGAGTTACCGATTGCCAATATCTGTCGTCAGTGTTTGACGTGTTAACTTTAATTTCAGTTCAAGACAGCCAAATTCTCATGACCTATCAAAAGTAAACGCACTCTAATTTAACAACAAACATTATCCACATAATGTAATTATGCCGTAGAGAGCCTAAATTTATTTTAAACAAAAAGAAATGTGACCGTGGATTTATAAGCTCAGTTGGACCATTTTTTCTTGAACGACGATTGAAATTTTAATTAACTTTCTTCTATTTTTTTTACTTAAAGTTTATCTTTATTCTGCGTCTGTTACACGTTGGGGTACCCATCTCTTATTCGCCACTCCTCTCATACCACTGAATGAAATTTGATGAAACTTTCACAGAATCTTTATCACATATGCATTTTGCCATTGTGCATCTCCTATTTTACTTTTTAATCTGACACATATTTGGAGTTTCCAGTAGCAAAACATGGACACTGCCATTACATTCAAATTTTTGTCTTATTTTTATTTCAGAGTTACTTCCCTTTTGCCATCCGAGTTGTTTACGTCTATGAGGAAGACAATTGTCATGCATTTTGCCATTACAATCATATGGTGACCGGGAATATCATTTAGTGAGCTCAGTGCTCACAGTAACTCTAGTTTTTTCAGGTGTTACTTTCAAGGGATTTGTGTGGAATTATCTTTTGAATAAACTAAATAAAAAAGTATCTGCAAGATTCCCCATCATTTCAAGTTGAACTGTAGCGCAAGACTTATTGCAAAGTGCTACATGTAATGTTCATGGTCTTTTTTGCGACTACATTAGCAAAGGAACCACGAAATAAACTAGAGGTACTGTGAGAAATGAGCTCACCAAATGATACCCCCGCCTCCCATATGAATTTAATGAGAGTTTTCATGGACGGACGAAAGTAAAGCTAGACGGACATACCGATTACTATATACCCTCCCTTTTTTCAAGCGGGGGTATAATAAAATAAAGACTGTCCCAAGTCAAACTACTCTTGCAAAGGTGGAACAAGCTGGAATTAGGGTTGAGAGATCCGTTTCAGTGCATTTCCTAAAATGTTCAAGCCAAAATAAAGTCAAAATCTGTTTTAAAAATCCCCAGACGCCATTGTAGTAGTTCAAACAAAATATGGTTTTCTTTTTCCATTCGATATACATGTACTAATACCCGTTTTAGAGACAGGTTACAGGTGTATGGGCACATTGCTTTGAACAAAAATCATTCTGGTCAGTAGCTTTTATCTTTAATGATATGAATTGGCTTGTCATCTATCAGTACCGATTTTGTATCTCAATAACCGTTTGATAAATGCAACGTTGTATAATTTTCAAATGTTGAAAGTATTAGTTGACAAGTTATACTTCTACCAATATTAACTGCATTTACAATTTAAATATGACAAGCTATAGTTAACATTTTCAATTAAAATGTGATTTTAAAAAATAACAAAATATTAATCTACTTATCAATGATGACAACTGTTGGCTTTCTGGAGGATGCATGCAAGTTTGTTCATTTTCCATACAATGACAAATTTCAAACCACAAGCTTACAGTTACATTTTTTAAAGATTCACCTTGTATTCTACGATTTACAGTGTTTCTAATAGTCTACATTTTCACAGTCTAAACGACAGATATGCCACTACTATCGACGGCCGCAGGTTTAGTTTTTTTGCGTTTCAATAAACCACCAACGTTACAACATCCTGCAATGGAGGGCGCGATTGCTTTTTCGCACCCACCGGCGCATCGTTTACACAAAAGATTTAACGGTGTTATTATCCAAATAACTTGAAACATGAGGCCTCCGATTAATGATGCTATAGAATTGGCAATACAGGGCCCCGTCAGAAAACTGCAGCACTGGTAAACAAACAGACGCCATCTTTCATAGCAGACCGTGCTGGATTGCCAGTACAATGCGTCGCTCTTCAGGCGCTTGGGTTCTGAAATAATTTGATTAAACCGGATGCCCTGAAAAAATAAATTTATTCAATAGAAAACAATATTTGTACGAAATAGCTTCTTTAAAAAATTACTATCGGATAATAAAAAAAATGCATGATATAGTAGACATTAATGAAGCTAACGAGATGACATTTAAGGCTTTATGGAAAGACAAGCTTGTGTATTTTATTAATTTAAACATTTCTTCATACATTTACAACCACTTCGCACAGTGTTATATGAAAGATATAGATTTTTTTTTTTACAAATAAACTTCTTAAAATATAATTTTCATCAATATTTCTTTCTTTGGGCCTAATCATAAACTTACGGATTTATTACTGATTATCTCCCGTGGGTCTCGGTTTTCCAAGATCATGTCGAGCTCTTATGTTGGCTTGACAGAGAGTATGCTTGTCTGAAAAAAAAATTATATAATTAGATACCTAAATAATAATATAGTAAAATTGTCTGAAAGAAAAAAAAAGTGAAATGAACAACAAAAAAGGCCAGAAAAAAATAAAGCAATTAATGTTTGAATTTAAAATAAATGGATAGCGATATACCGGTATCTACTTCTGCCTTCATCATGCATGCTAGAAAACCTAGGCTCTAACCATTCTCTTTGAAATAGATACAATGTAAGCTTTAGGATTATGTCAAAAGTGACAAAAATCATGGCATTTTTTTTAAAACCTACTCATACTTAAATCACTGTTATAAGACTTGAAAGGTTTTTTCTTTATTCTCATTTTGAAATTAATTGATGTATATTAATTAAATTGTAAACCTAAATTACAAACAAATTTTGGTTTATTGTATATTTTTCCTAACGAACAATCTTACCTTCTTATCAAGAAACCCAAGACCACAAATTATTATTACAACGACAAGCCAATCAACCAGGACGGAAGGTAAAACTATAAAACATCAGATTTCTGATGTGAAGATTACTCCTCTGATGAGGAAGCGACGATTTATCTGATTAAATTTCCATGTAATAAATATAGGATCTCCTTTGATTTGTAGTTGGATAGGACTTTTATCCAACGAGTTGTGTGATTTTTTATCCCCAAGCCTTGGCGAGGGGATAAAAACATACAACGAGTTGGATAAAAATCAAATCCAGCTACAAACCATGGGAGATTCTTTTTATTCCATGTTTAATACTTCACAACCGATGTTTTCCACTGTTTTTATATAGGACTTCACTTTATTTAACATCATTACACTAAGGCAAAAACAAGTGTGACGTTAACAACTACAGTTAAGGAGATATGATACAAACATTTTTTTTCTTTGGAGGAGACTTAATATCATGTCACAAGTTTAGAAAAGTGCCGGATAATTCTTAAAAAAAAATCTCCTAAGAACTGGAAAATGAAATAGACTTGGAAAATATTAATAAGCGTAATAGGTAAAAAAAAAAAAACGAATAAAGACAAATCACACACAGTAAAGGCTTACAGGTGAAGACAAGTTTCAGAATATGTTATCTTGGTGCTAAAAGAGTAATGAAATGAACTTTAGAAAAATAGACAAGCCAGGTGAATTTTATGAGGAAAAAACAAAATGACAAGAAATCAATAATATCATATAGACTGATTTTTACCATTTTGCATAAAATTTTGCTAAAAATAGGTAACAATTGTTTCTTTGAAAATCGATCGGTACTTTAAGGTGAAGGTTGGGGAATCTTTGGATCGAGACTTAATATCCGAGGCCTCATTTCACGGCAGGATTTGGCACGATGAAATTTTCTCGTTGCTATGTTACTAAGAACCGAGTAAATGGTGATGTCTATAAGCATGATAAGTGAGCGAAATATTCATAAATGTGACGTAAACAACAAGCAACAAATGTATTTTATGCACTCTTTCGAGGTTAATCTTTTGTGTAAAAGTCTGACAAAGTATAGAGGTTTCGAATTCTCGACTGTAAGTCCAGTGCTGATTTTACAGGTAATATCGCGATGTACATGTACGTACAAGGCATGTTCAGTTTCAATCCACTCAAATAAAAACGAGTTGCTTCTCTTTCTTTACAAATCATCTGATTTTTCTCAGATGTAATCATCTGATTTTTCTCAGATGTACGAGGGTCATTCAAAAAGTTCGTAGACTTCTGCCCTATTTTTTTTTTTATTATTTAACGTCGTATCATATCCAAATATAGTACACAGATCTTAACAACAAATTCAAAACATTTGAGTAAAAAAATTGGAATATATTTTCATATTCAGAAAAGTTATCGAAGATTTAGAATAGCAAAAATGGGGTCACGGAGCAATGTTAAAATTAAGTAATTTAATAATTTTTACTCTATAGCATCTAAAGCCATACCTCTAATAAATGGAACTGAAACAAAATTTTAATAAATTTATTACATGTTTAATTGAAGTCTTGCTGTATTACTTAAAGATATCAGTTTCTAAACACATATGGACTTGATTAAAAATGGCAAAAAAATGACGTTGGAGGACGTCATTGAGTAGCGAGTAGCAATAAAATTTTGCTTTGATTCGGGAAACTTCTTTATTAAACAATTCTGTACAAACCATGAAATATATGAAAATAAGACGTGTATTTGTATAAATATGGAAATTACAATTTTTTGAGTGGTAGCGAATTTGAATCGGACGATGGATGGTCTGCAAAGAAACAGGTTTTAGTTTAAAATCTTGTCAGAAGAGTTAGGAACGTCATTAAACGTGATGTGCGTTTCACTGTTGCGGAACTAATCAAGTTACATGTACGCTGTAAAGGATTTGAAAAAAACTGACAACCTAGTTCAAGCTATTTGCACAATTGTTAGCAAACTAGGTGTTAATTAAGAGTTATGGATACATTTTTATGAGTGGAGAAGACGCTACAAACCGTGTATGAAATTAAAAAGCAGAGTAATTTTGAGAAACTTTCTCGGCGTTGTTTTTGACGTTACAATATGTTGGTTAACCGTGCTCCGTGATAACAGAATATGCTGCTTTAAAAATTGGCTATCTTGAGTTCTTTTTAATCAAATGGAATAAAACTTCACACTTCGACAAAATAAATGTTCATATTTACGATAATGTGTTCTTCTATCATCTTCACCGTATATACAACAGGTAAAGCGGGGGAGTCGCTAAAAAGTATGGGGGAGTCGTTTTCAACGTATGGGGGAGTCGATTTTCACCGCTTCGGAGTCAGAAGAGATGTGGGTCACGTATTTTATCGGTATTTGTAAGATGTCTTTACAAAAAACAAATAGCCCACGGAAGGTAGCAATAGTTAAGCTTTCTTTTGGTCATTTGTCTGGTTAGCATATACGTCTAGTTTTCTCAAACACTTCGAAACTATTCGACAGATTTCATATTTACGTTGATCGAGTGATTAAAACATGCATGATTTGCACAATCTAAGACTTCTGTAGGGATTATGACAGTTAAGACAGCAAAAGCAAATGTTAATCTTTCAAATGCAACAATTCAAACTTGGCTAGACCTCATAAAAAGTAATTATAAAGACATTTTCTCTTCAGACAGTAATGGCTACGTAGGGGGGAATCGTTTCTGGAAAAACATAACGTATCGGGGAGTCGCAAAATAAAGTCAAATGCATACCTAACATGTTGTTGTTTTTAGTTATAGAAAAAAATCTGCAATATACATGTACAATTGGATTGTATATGTTTGGAGCACATGTGCTTGGGGACAAGACCCTCCCCTAGCTCAGTCTGTAATTTTCTTATGCATCACAAAAATTCAAAAAGATAACGAACCCTCACTTTCAACAATGAAAGTCTCTCTATTAAAGAAGAACAACCAGATTTTTGATATGGAAAATTTCTTAATTAATATCAACCATTTTTTTTATTCGAAAAAGGGAAACCTCTGGCGCGTCATTCCTGTCCCTTGACTTCTTTTTTTGGGGGGTGGGGGGGGGGTTAGAAATTTTTAAACTGGTATATACCTTCATTTGGTCCACATATAACATTAATAGTTTTTTTATTTGTCATATAAAATACATCTTCAGGCACAAACGATGTATCTTAAATGAGAATATTTGGGATAATCTGAGACATGTGCTATTATACAGGATGCTGAAGAAGGGACTGAATTGCATATTTCCCCAAGCGCTGGAATGTCTTCTGCATCATAAATAAACGGAGAAGTGTAAATAATTATCTCCGAACTTTGAACAGAACAAATTCCAAAATATTTTTTCACGATATACATACATTTAATGATATGATACCTTCCCTTACCTTTTCGCAGATACACACAGTTCCTCAGAATATGATACTCCCTCAACCCCCTTCCTTTTTGCACTTTCGTGACCACAAATAACGACGGGTTGTACATAAACAGTATGTTCTTTAAAAAAATATTTCAATAAAGGAAGAAATTTTGTAAATTTCTTACTAATATTTCAAATGCACAATCATTTCTCAAATTAAAGGCACGTTAATTGAAAGAATGAAAATGCCGTATAGTGAATTCAAATAGATATCTCTAATTATTAAATTTAAATTGAAAATTGATATACATGTAATGAACACATCCACATGAAATGTTCTTTTACACGCACTAAGTTTTTGAAAGGGGCAGTCAGTAATATACATTCATATACAGGGTTTGAGGACAACATGCGTTTTGTCGGACCGAATTCGAAGAACCATACTGTTTGCCTGAGGTTGATAGGCCGAAGGCAAAAAGTTTTTGTTTGAGGGGTCGACAAAAATCATTATTGTCCGAGAACACAATCGATAAATGATTTGTTATATTCACTGCTGGTAAAGTGCGAATCGAGAAAATCTTGGTTTCGGACACCAGCTACTATTGGCACCTGTGAATTATCTAGTTTAATACATATTTTTTTTATAAAACACAATAAAAATCACTTTCTAGAAAGCAAATTTATTAAATAGTTCAGCAATTGGATTGCTTTTATACCGAAAAGGGCTCATATCGAAATATTACTTGTAAATGACTGTTTACATCGTGTTTTTCACGTACTCGCATTTGCAAAGTACATAAAGTACTACAGGACTAATTGGACAATTAAGTTGATGAATTTAACTTTCATCCAACGTTTTTGTATGTCATGGACACAAACAATCTGCTTTAAATGAATTATTTCCATGGGATTTGCCAATAACTAGCAAATTCATTTTATAGGTGCTACAACTGGTTTCTGTTAAATTTTGACACAGGCGACTTTTGATTTGTGTAAATGCGACAACTGGTTTACGTCTCTGAGACTGTTGGTTTATGTTACTTAACGTGAATAATTTGAAATTATTCAAATTTACATGAAAAGAATAATTGTTTTTATAGTTTACAGTAATTTTTGACTATTGATTGAATCAATACATAGTGTTCCATCAATTCTTTTTACGGATATTGTGTTTTTGGTTAAATTATTTTGTTACTTTTAAATAGAGTGATATGTTGTGAATGAGTTAGACGATGACACCAAATAATCCAAAACTACACCAGGTATACATATAAGAATGTTGTGATCAAGCGAACAAGCTTTTTAAAGCAATAAACGAATGCATAATGGAAATATTTTCCTTGCAGTATATGTTTATTCAAAACACGATGCGAGTATCTTTAGAGTTGAGTTGCATATAGTCTAAATTTATCCAGTAACATCTCAGTTACGTAGTATGCAAGTTGAGTACTTTTTTTCTGAAAATAGTCTTTTGATTTTCTTTTAATTCATGTTTATGATTTTTTTTATGCAGATATTCTTGCCCCCCCCCCTTTATAATCGTAAAGTAGCTGCCTTCCTGTAACTCGCTTGTCTGGAAAAAAATTGAGAGAGACGACCAAATTGCCACTCATACAAAATGGTTTTAAAAAATTATTACGCACAAAAGCTGTGCTTGGTGCTAAAATAATTCCTCAAGATTCTTATCTCAACTGCACAAAAGCTAAAAAACATAATCCTAAGACC